AACATTTTAGTAATAGTTTATAAAGTTTTTTGACTAAATTTGGTGTAAAGTTATATACACTAAATAATTTAGTCAAATTTTTAATTTAATTTTTTAATGAAGAATTGGAAGGCTAGTATATCACTGTTAAAAACTTATAAGAATAGTCAATATAAATTATATAAATAAAATATATATTATTCTTGATTTATTCTAAATAAATTTAAAACATGAATACATATATGTATAAATAATTTGTAGAAATAAAGTAATATCAATGATAGAAAATCCAAAAACAATAATAATGGTACCTTGGGCCGCAGTAATCTTTAGTATAATAAATAAGCTCATTTAATTTGTTTGTTATCCATGTTTCCAATCAAACTTTTAAAATTTTCTTATTCATGTTTCCAAACACTTTATTTTTGTACTTCAGCTTTAATAGTATAGATGCACACTACCTTATCTCGTTTGTAACAACTCAGACCCGGTCCATATGCATTTTGTATTTAAAAAAGGGAAGCCCAATTGCTTAAGGTCCGAAAGAGAGTAAACCCTAGGGTTCTCTTCTATTTTCCTATAAAAGGAGGTGCTTCTTTCTCTTTTTTCTCATCAGAGAGAAACAAAGCGAAGCTCTGCAGAGATCCCGGGAGACCTAAAACCCTAGCCGCCAGCCGCCTTCTCCGAGCAGCCACCGTTACCAGCCACCCTCCGCCACCATTTCTGATTTGCTCCCTTCTTTGTTCTCTTTCGTCATTTTTCGTCAGATCTGTTTGGTAAGACTCTGATTTACATCTCCATCTTCTTCCTCTCAACTATTTGTCACTGGGTCTGGCGGATCTGGTTCCTAATCCCTTCTCCCATCTTCTATTGAGCGTGAAAGTACAGATTTGTGGTTGTGTTGCTACGTTCTTCTTCTGTTGGATCTAGATCTGTGACCTTGAGAAAAGCTAAGGTGAGGTCCTGGTCGTGAACTTCTCTCATGTTGTATAATACCTCAGGGAGTTAGTCCTTTGTTAATGTTAACCTAGATCTAGTTATTTGTTTGTGTTGATGTGATGAAAAGTGCGTTGATTGATGATGTGAGTAAAAGAACTTAGAACATAATAGAATGTTAAAGGATAACCGGTTGTGTGATAAGAATGAATGATGATAATAATGAATCTGGTTAAAATTGAATGTTGATGAGACTAGGGCGTTATGATGTTGTCGATGAGATATTAGGTTGTGTCGTAGTGTGACGAAGTGCCAGATTGGCAAGTGCCGGTTTGGCGAGTGCTGGTTTGGCGAGTGCCGGTTTAGCGAGTGCCAAGTTGGCGTGCCAGTTTGGCAGAAAGTGAAGTCGTGTAAGGTCATGAGGTGTACGGGTGATTAGCTTGAGAAATCGTGGATTAGAGAGTCTAGAGAATCTTGTTAGATGAATGCTAGGTGATATTAACTTATGACTTGTGCTTGATGTGCTATGTGATTTGAGATAAGTTCGTAGGTTCCTAGAACCTACCCTCACTGAGTAATCCCTATTACTCACCCTCTTTCTGGCAAGTATGATCGAAGAGGTGCAGGAGTAGGAGTCGGGATGGTGCCATCTATTTCAGTTTTGTTTTAAGGGTTTTCACTACGTTTTCTTAAACTATTGTTATGTTATTCGGTTTTCATTTAATTTACTTACTTGTAAGACGATTAAGATTAAAATAAAGGAAGTATTGGATTTAAGAGAAGTGGTGTTATGGTTGAAAGTAGGATCCTAGGGACATGGTTGTTACAATTGGTATCTTAATACAAGTCCCTAAGTTACAATATCACCGATGAGTACTGGCACAATCTTGCAACCCACTGCACATATGGAGATACATGTACAAGGAATGTAGGGTAGGTTATTTAGAAACCATGTACGCTTGATCGAAAGTGGGGGAGAGCTAAGAACAAAACTGAAGAGGACCATGCCACTGAGCAAGTGGAATATCCAGATATGGGCTAGTAGGAACACAATACTGCCGCCAGGTTGTGCCAAGAGACACCTTTGGATGGTGGAATCCACAGATTGGGATGCATGGACCAAAACAAAACATGGGGACATAGGGGGAGCAAGGAAATCAGAGTAGTACAGCGGGGGCGTGGTGGCAAGCCTGCAGCACACCACAACAGATGTTTTGATTTGGCGATGACACCACACGTGGGGCAAGTAAATGAGGGTAAAAGTACCCTAGAAGACATTCCGAAGCCAACAGCAAGAATACGTCTCACCGTAACTGATATATCATGGTTTTTACCCGCTTTCAGCCATGATTTATATATGTTTTTGGAAACAAAAGGATACTTTTAGTGTCTTTTTAGAGCTTTTACAGATCCAGGTACTCACTGGTGTAAAACATACACTTTGGAGCTAAAATGGAGACTTTATGAAGATATGAGCAAAACAATGTTTAGCTATCGACCGATGCACGCTGAGAGCAATCGACCGATAGATGATTACCCGTATCGATCGATAATGGAGTTTTGTATCGATCGATACATAAGTCATCCAAGCGATTAAATGAAGATTAGAAGCCCTAATTGCTTCACAAGAGTTTTAATAATTTACACACTAAGTCCATGGCCGCCTGTTAGGCTATATTAAGAGGGTTTTGTATTAGTCTAGGTAGACAACTTTAGAGACTTTTAGACCTAATTTGGAGATGCATGTAGCTGCACTTTGAGAGGAGTTTTGATGGAGAGAGAGATCTGAACTACCATTACAGAGAAGATCATGAACTCCCTTTTTACTTATTGTTTCTCTTTATTATTATTTTAAAGTATTATTCAGACCATCATGATTTTGTCTCTCATGAATATGTTTGAGTAGTCTCTTTTGTTAGATTTAGGTTTCTCATTAAGGTTGACTCATGCATTGAATTGAACCATTATTAAGGTGTTTAAAATATAGTTCTCAATCTAGTTATCAATGAATGCTAAGATCAAGGATTGATCACCCTTGTCTCTGATTTTAGGATCAATTTGGACAAGCGATAGCTTGGCAAATACCCTAAGTCTAAGTTAATTTAATGAGAACTAGATAATCCATTCAAACACACCTTCACCACTCGCTGGATGCGATATCGACCGACAAGACGATAGTCGTATCGACATATAGCGGCATTTACATCGATCGATATTCCCTTCAGGTTATCGGACGATAGTCCTAACCAGAAATCCAGTGGAGTTAATCCTTAACCTCCTTAAAAGTTTGAATCTAGAACTATGAATAATAAAAACCCTTTACAATTTGCATGTATGCCATACCTGAGAAAGTACCTAAGTTTAACTACCTTCTTCCTTTTTACAAACCAGTCAACCAATCAAGCATTTACTTGCTATCTTTTAA